CGCCCCACCCACTAGGATAGTGATGGTGAACCTATGACACGCGTGTCAGAGGTGACACACGAACTCATTTTTTTTGGTTGATCTTTCTTTGTTAAATGGCATTTAAATATATAAAATAAATATCAAAAATATAAGTCTTTGTTTTACCATGGTTGCAAATATCAAAAAAATTTCTATATGTGATATGGCACCAGAGTTAAGTTAGGGTTTTTCATAATGCTGACATGCCAAGCTCAAAAGGTTTGCCATCACTGATCTAGCAGAACCTGATGGAACCCAATGTTTGCTCCTCTCCTTGAAGAACTGAGGTTTTTATTCAATCTTAAATTTCATTTTAAACAGTCCCTGCTGCTTAACAGTGAAAGAAAAGTATTTAAATTTTCACTGGATTGAAAGCAGCTTGACATGGCAATAGCTAATTATATTGAGCAGCGTTTGATAAAACAAGTGAAATTTAAAGCTAAACCCGAAGAGTGCTTTAAATTCAGTCAAAAAAAAAAAGTGGATTTGGAAGTGTTCTGTACATTTTTTTCATAATAACACAGTGGAAAACAAACAGTTCATTTGAAGAACAAAGGAAAGTAGATATATGGGCATATTATGAACGAAAAACTAACCTGTATCTGGCAAAGGTAACTTGTTGTAAGACAATAAGAGAGACTCTGACCTCAGCTAGCCATACCTGAGTGCAAACTCTGCATCTGACCCTTAATAGTGTGTGTGTGTGTGACCTTGGGAGCATTATTTAACTTCTCTGCAATCCACATTCCTCAACTTTCTGTGCAAAGTGATAAAATTATAAGGAATTCATATGTGGTTGAGGGATTAAATAGATGCTCAATAAATATCAATTTCCTTTACTTTATTTTATTGGCAGTAATAGACCTAGCTGGTAACTAAGATAGTGGGGAAATCGGAGAATGAAAACACAATCTATATAATTGCAATCCCTATCTTCTTTCACTCTCCCTCCAAAGATATTATAGAAACACTGACTAAATCACAAACTAAATCTCACATTTCATTATTTTGATTAAAATAGAATGTTCAGAATATAAAGAGAAGATGATAGGACCATGTGCTTTATATCACAAACCTCAGCAATACCTCTAAAAGAACTAGAACTGGTAATTTTCGAAGTTAAAAACTATCACAGTCATTAGGAAGCCCGAGTATATATTGAATTTCTCATCTATGTCCTTTTCTCTTGGGGAAAATGTTAGGCATGAATTGATGTAATTCCCCCACACCTGCAGAAAGGTCATGATCCCATTACCATTCATCCTTGTCAGCATCACAGTTGCAAAAGTACTGAATGTCCAGGCAAATCTCATCCAGGCCACATTCACATTGCTGAACCCCGGGAGGAGCGCCTCCCCAGTAAGGGTGTCTTTCCTTTGATCGGCCCATCCACCAGGTAAAGGGAACTCCATCTGAAAGACAAAGTATTTCAAAACTCCGGTGAGCAAGCCAGAAATGACAGATCAGGAGCCACAAACACGGATAAAAATGTCATGAAGAATATGCATATCCTTCTTCTCTTCTTCTCTTCTCTTCTCTTCTCTTCTCTTCTCTTCTCTTCTCTTCTCTTCTCTTCTCTTTTATATATATATATATCATCCTCAATAATCCTCAATATATGTAGGATAGATATCTATATACATTTGTACATATAAGCAATACAGAAAACATCTGCAGACTGTTTAGATGTTTATAGTAAGAAGGGTGAGGTCACTAGTGGAGCTGCACCAGCTCCCAGAGGTGGCAGATCCCAGGCTGAGAGAGAAGTGGGAATGTTGGGCTATGGGAGGGTCTGTTCCCTCAGAAGATAGAGGCAGGGAACCCAGGCTGGGCTCCACAGCCCAGAGCACTGAGCCCAGACTTATAGTCCATGGAAAGCATGAAAAGTGGCAGGGCTGCAGGTGGCAGTGGAATCTGGAAACGGCAGACCAGAGCAGGTCAGAGAAAAAGCCACGGTTTGGTGTTTTTTCTTTCTTTTTTCTCTCCAAACCCAGAGCACAGGAGTTTTCATTTGCAGCTACTCACCTGAGGTTTGGGTGCAGGGAGGGAGACACAGACTTGAGGTGCCTAAAGAGAGACTGGGGTGGGAAGCATTGCAGGGAGACGTGGAATAGCAACAGCCAGAAGTCCTGCATTTGGTCATTTGTATGTGCTCAAGTCAAAACAGCCATTTTTCCTGAGACGAGCTAACTATTCTCAATAGTCACAGGGCAGGAAAAGAAAAATCCCATTCTAGGTGATACCACAGAGGGGCTCCAGGGTGTGCCTGCGGGACTTGCTCAGTCCTGATTGGCCAGATCCCAGTAGCAAGCTAACCTACAGATCAGAGCATCTGCCCCTGGTGGTCACTGCACGTCATAGTGAGCAGTTGAACGGCCTTAGCATATCATTAGCATATCACACTTTAATTGGTTAACGGACAACTGGCCGAGGGGACATTTAGCATATTAGGCTTTTATTATATAGGATAGCAAAGGAAGTACTAGAATCATCAATCAGACAACAAAAATAAATATAAGCCATGTAAATTGGAAAAGAACAAGTAAAACTCTCATTGTTCAGAGATGACACGATATTGTACATAGAAAACCCCAAAGGCTCCACCAAAAAACTACTAGATTTTATGAATCTAGTAGCAGGATACAAACTAACATTGAGAAATTGATGGCATTTTTACACACCAATAATAAACTCTCAGAAAGAAAAAAAAAATCCAATTTACCATTGTAACAAAAAAAATTAAGATACTTAGGAATAAACTTAACCAAGGAGGTAAGAAACCTGAACTCAGAAAACTACAGGACATTGAAGAATGAGATAGAGGAAGATATAAACAAGTGGAAGAAAATACTGTGTTCATGGATTGGTAGAATCAACATCATTAAAAAGGCCATGCTACACAATGCAACTTATATATTCAATGTAATCTTTATTAAAATACAAATGGCATATTTCCAAATATAGTATAAACACTCCAAAAATCTATATGGAACCCAAAAAGAACCTGGATATCTGCAGCAATCTTGAGAAAGAAGTACATAGTTGTAGGAATCACAATACAAGATATTAAATTATACTAAAAAAATTATTATAATCAAAAGAGCCTTGTACTGGCACAAGAACAGACATATAGATCAATGGAACAGAGTAGAGACCCCAGAAATGAACCCAAGCCACTACACCCAATTAATATTTGACAAAGAAGGCAATAGCGTACAATGGAGTAAAGACATTCTCTTCCATAAATGGTGTTGGGAAAATTGGACAGGTATATAGGGAACTCATACAACTTAACAAAGTGAAGACAAAAAATCCAATGAATAAATGTGCAAAGGACCTAAATAGACACTTCTCCAAATTGGACACATAGATGGCCAGGAGACATATGAAAAAATGCTCAAAGTCACTGATCATCAGAGAGATTCAAATTTAAACAACAATCAGGTACCACCTCACACCTGTCAGAATGGCTATCAGCAACAAATTAACAAATGACAAGTGTTGGTGAGAATGAGGAGACAAGAGAACCCTAATAAGCTGCTGGTGGGAATGCAGACTGGTGTATCCATTACAGAAAACAGTATGGAGTTTCCTCAAATAATTAAACATGGAACTGCCATTTGATCCAGTGATTCCACTTCTAGGAATAGATCCTAAGAAATGAGAAACACCAATCAGAAAGGATATGTACACCCCTATGTTCATAGCAGCACAATTTATAACAGCTTAGATTTGGAAACAGCCAAGTGCCCATCAGTAGATGAGTGGATTAAAAACCAGTGGTACATTTACACAATGGAATACTATGCAGCTATAAACAACAAACAAACA